GTGGATTTTAACGTTTTCATTACCAAAGTATTAAAATGAGGTTGTCGAATAAAGGGACTACCTTTTATTTAAAAAAAATAGTTTTCGACCAGGTGGTCGAAAAATGGGAAGGCAATGTAATAATGTGAGTTCTAGTGACTATTATTGATAAATGGCCAGTTTTCGTCCATAATACGAAGAATGAATTTGGAAATCACTTCGAAATATTTTCATTGAATAGACAGACAATAATAATATCGTCATCGCGTAAAAATGAAGACCAGTGCTGAAATACACAAGTTACAAAAAAATAAAGATTTATTTAATTTTATGAAACCTGATTAGTTAAGTAAACTAATTTTTATAGTTATTAGTTAATAGTTATTATTTCTTGCTTAATTATTTACGAAAACAGTGACACACTAAAAATTTATTTTTGATAGGTAACTCCTTTTTCTGTGGTTACTTTTTAGAGTCTTATAAAAAAAAGTATCAATAAACTACTCATATTTTACTATTAACGGTTTATTGGTTATTTTATTTTCTAAGCGAACTGAATAACTTGAATAACCGGTTGTCTAATCAACACACACGGAGGTGTTATACCTAGGGGGGTGAAAAACGGGGGCAAAGTTTATATGGGACAATAGGACGATTCCTTGGTCCAAACTACTTCAAATTTTTCATTAACATTCTTTAACAGAATCGATGAAAGACGTGTTTAGTATTTTATTGAAAATAAAAAAAAAAATTAAAGTAAAAATTGGTCGAAAACTGGGCAGCAGGTGGACGAAAACTAGATTTTTTGGACAAAAATTGGTCAAATCGGCAATTTCACTTAATAATTTAAATGGAGTCACCACTATTTTTTGGGGACAAAAACTTGACTTGAAACACTCACATTTTATGCTCAAAATTGGCAACTCTGCTAATTCGCGAAAATAGGCTTATCTACCCAAAACTAATATTTATATTAGTAAGTAGGACGCGAACGAAAATTTTGCGGACAGAAAAGTTCAAATCTGGCATAGTTGGAAATTGTGCAGAATGTTTTTCATGATAATAGTAAAAAATAAAACTTTTAGGTAGGTATAACACACACGAGACTAGTTAGTACGTTACAACGCTTGGAAATGTTTTGGCTAATATGTAAAGCTTTGTAATATGTAATAGAAAAAAAATGTTAACCTACTAACAACGAGGTTTCTGTGTTCATTAATTAAACTCACAGAACACAGAAACTTCTGTGTTCTGTGATTAAACTACTGCTTTCAACAACACTGTGCGTGATATCTAAGTAAATAAATTGTGTCGTACCTTATTTCGAGTGATAGTCAAGAAAAGACTTTTAGCCGTCGTTTAAAAGCAATGTACATACATATAGATTTTAAACATATTATAGGATCTATGTCGAAATCATTGGATGCATAAAATACAAAAAAAAAAAAAACTTTAGATATAGCTTTTATACAATTGGATTGATCGGGTTTATTTTACAAAAAAGGTTATAAGTGTACCATGAAAATCTTGTACAACTAAAAACCCAGCTTATGGCTCTATGAATGATATTTTTATCTATCTTCTGTTATAAAATACCGAATAAAACTTTTAATAAAGACGTGAAGCAGCTTCCCAAACATGTAAAAACTACATCAATTCGAGCCTCGTAAATTATTTAGGACATTATTTACAAAAAATCATCATCAGCATATTAACCATGAAAATCTTGTATATTTAATAACAACATCTTATGACTATATATCATATTTTTTATATATTTCTACCTTCTGTTAAAATACTTTAATATAAGATACTCGTGATAATCTTAAAAATCCGAACCCGAATTCGAATTCACTCATGTGTACGAATTCACGTCATTTAAGAAAATAAAGATCATTGATTCAATTTTTTTATTAAAACACTAAACCAAATTAATTGATTCATACCTGTCTCAGATATTCTATTCCTATCATTTCAAAAATCACTTTATTTAAGCTACAAAACGTTATTACCAATTCAAGGTTGAACGGATACCGCTTTTGAAGTTAATTCGTATATATGAGTAGATTCGAAATAGAATTCAGATTTTTACAGAATCGCTGTGCAGTATCGAAAAATACCGAGTATGGAACCCGGAGATCAATAATCAAGTCGTCTTGACAAGTCTTACGTTATTGATGGACTTATTTGATGTGCGGCTTGATGCATATTGAAGGTGCCGTCAAGTGCGACCGTCAAGTCAGTGAGTAAAGTATACAGGGTATAATTTAACTACATCTCTGGTCGGGAATTGAACCCGGACTTTTAGAAAAATAAAGCTAAAAATACATTAACTTAAATATCGATTGTATAAGCCTTAAACAGTTAATGTTACGATGAAACTTGATTTCTAAGATGAAACTAGCACCGATAGAGACAATGTTACGCACAATGAACAATGTTTGCCATTTCGACATGAAATGAAATCAAAATGTCTTTATTCAAGTAAGCTTCTTTCAAGCACTTATGAATCGTCAAAAATATTTTTTTTCTCCTACCACTCTTTAAGGACGTCTTTAAGCTGACAAGAAGAACAAGCGAAAGAAACTTACCAGCTCTTTATCATAAGGATGACATTTACATAAATTATGTCATTACCATAATATTACGTATTATAACAATAATAAATATAATTTTCAAAGACTGTAGGAGATAGGTTGGTACATATAATTAGTCGTTATAGAACAAAGCGAATGCTATTAATTCCATGCATTGCGGTCCTTAAAATAATCATCTACTTTATGATAGCCTTTACTCATAAGTATGTTCTTTACATGAATTTTAAATTAATTACGAGTAGGTCAAATTACATTTTATGGAACTTTATTGAACATAGCAATGCATTTACCCAGAAATGACCTCTAAACGCGTAGCATGACGAACTCGAGAACGTTTTGTCTACACCCAAATGTCACTTTTCTCGGGTGCGTTCATACAATATCTCACTCTTGACCCGAGAAAGTGACATTTGGGTGTAGACAAAGCGTTTCTCGAGTTTGGCATGCTATACGAGCTGGTTTTTTGAAGTCTGAGTCTTGGAACGACAAGTTTATTTTTATTTCTTGTGTTAAGATTATGAACACTCCTTTTTTTGTGAAGGAATAGTAATGTATTTTGTGTACATAATATTTTCATGGATGTATTGAAAGGCAACACTCAAAATATATATTTCTTTAAATATTTCACTGAGAAATTCCCTAGACCTTAAATCATATATAGCGCAGACATTTCTCTTTTGTAGAATAAAAATATCTTGAATGCTAGCCGCAGAACCCTACAACAATAGACCATACGTCATTACCATGAAAATAACTAACATATACAAATATTGCCGTTTCAAAATTTATCAAAAGATTAATTTCTTAACAGCAAAAGCTGCAGAACTCAGTCTACTTGACAAGTTATCAATATGAAGATCCCATTGCAGTCAGTAATCTAGTCTAATACCAAGGAACTTTGTCCATTCCATCAACTCAACTTTTTCACTATTTACATTTTATAAGTGTACTAACATGCCTCACATTAGGTAAAGCAAACTTTATTCATTTCGTTTTATTTGATTGAGCTTTATATTATTATTATCAAACCACTGTAGAACATTGTCGAAAGGATCATTTACATCAACAAAACAATAATTAACCTTCTTAACTTTAAACACTAAAGAGGTGTCGTCTGGGAAAAATTACTGTCTTGCACAAATTCTTCGTAAAGTGAGGAAAATCATTAATGTAAATTAGAAAAAGCAATGGTCCTAATACCGATCCCTGAGGTACGATCATAGTAATGGATGCCCCTGCAGATTTTGCTTCATTAATTAGTACTTATTAAATACTAGCAGAAAGATATGATTTTGTTAGATTAAGTGAATTTTTCGACAAACCATTAATGCCTAAGTACTAAAATTTATTTATTTATTTATATACAAGCACACAAAACAGATTATTATTAAAAGATATGATGTGATTTAAAAACAATGTATATGTTTATTCATTTTGGACATCATGATTCACAGTAACACTAACTACCTAAGATCTACACAATCGGCATCTATGTAGAAATAATGCAATTCCAATAAAATTAAAAATGAAAGTAATTTTTCAAAACATATGGGATTTTTTTTGTGTGTAGATGCAGTTTTTCGTTTCACTAAAATCGATGACATGGTTCCTAAAAAGAGATCTTTGTATTTCCCATACTGACTTTATAATGTTACAACTTAACTAAATAGGGAAAAGATATAGGCTTACTAAGTCCGCTTCAGGAGTAAGCTGTTGGCTGGTGTTACAGTGTCAATGTAATGTAGGTCATGTCACAAAATATAAATTGATACGACTACTTATTTTTTGATTTAGAAAAAAAATGTATACAGAAATAGTAAAATGTTTATTTCAATATCACTTAGATTAATGCCGATTCTACAAATAGATCTTATTCCGTATGTTCTTAACTGTCATAATTTTCAACGTATTTCCATGGTTTTTCTTGAGCAAGCTTCTTTTTTTTTCAAAACTCAATAAACAACTCCTATTCTATTTGTTCTTTTTCTTATTTATACTAATATCAAATTTTCAAACTTTGTAAATTTCAATTTTCAATATGTTAGATGAAACGAACGGAAATGACTATCTTTAGTCCATTCGTTTCCTGCAAAAATCTAATTTTGGTACCTCACTAGAGGTGCTTTTATAGTGCTTTCTTTTTTTTTCTTAAAATACTCCCTCATTGAACGAAAGTCGACTTGACGGGGGAGTCCCATGCTACAAGGGTAACCGGTCGTTGCGGGGGGCCGGTGTAAGCCTCCGCCATCTGAATATGTTGTCTTTAAGTCGTCATGTATGGGTTTATAATACGAAGCTGTAATAAAAAATAAAAAAAATGTCGACTTGACGTCTCCGTCAATTTGACATTGACATTCATGAGGGTGACGGTCAAACTGTCATTGTCAATTTTGCAGATGCCATGCCAAACAAATTTGAAAATAGCTGAAGCCGGTGAACTACAAACAGCGTTTACAATAACCTGATTTCATAAAAATGTCTGCTTTCCATGGATTCCCTGACTTACCACCACCAGAAGAAATAGCATTCTGTAAAATTGACGAAGTATATTGCTGTGGTAATGCTAATTACGGCAACATTACCACTTTTACAAACACGGTAAGGTTAACTATTTTAAGTAGAACATGTTTTTCATGTCTTCTATTGTTGCATTAAAATTCTTCTATGTTTTCAGACGCAAAAACACCCTGTTATAAACGTGACAAAAGACATCCATCACCACAGAACCACAGATGAAAACTTATCAATGTACATAGATGTAGAAGATAACTTACTAAAGAAAATAACAAGTGTATGGTACAAGCAGGGTTTTTTGGAAGCATTAAGTGTAGCTGCAGATCCAAGTGTAAATCGCGAAGTTCCATTGCTGGCGGTGGCGGCATCTTACGTTTTAAAAGTGGCTAATGTGTTCACGGCATTTAGATATTTCCTACAACCTCATTTAAAGGATATAGGACCAAAAATCGTGTCTAATTATTCAAGGATAAGAAATTGGGGCAATGTACCAGTTAAGTGCTTGTCATGGCATCCACATACAACAAAAATTGCTGTTGCTACGGCTGATGATAATGTTCGGGTCTATTGTTCTGAAGCTCAATTTGTATCGACATTGAAATGTAAAGCTCAGGGGCATGTCTCTTCATTATGTTGGCGGCCATTCTCAGCTTCAGAAATAGCTGTAGGATGTGAGAGGGGAGTGATAGTCTGGACTGTAGACCCTAACTCAATGTTTACAAAACCATCTTCTAGCAATGCTGTGGTGTTAAATAGGTAAATATATTTTTTAATGTTAATGTAGCTATAATTATAATTTATAGTATGTCTAACTTACTAAATGAATTTAAGTGTGAGTATTATTTAAAATATGTCACTAGATTTATTGTTATTTAGAAAATACTAACCATTTAATTATAAAAGTTTACAAATATATTTGGACATTAAAATATATGTTGGTTTATATAGCTTATAATCTAATTGGCTTGAATACCGATTTCAATGTGTTGCTTACTATATCTGTTACTATCCCAGCTTTGACTTCCAGTTCGGTCCATGTTTCTTATATTTATTTTATTGTTATGGTACCTAAGTTATTTCAGATACTCTATAACATTAGTGCTTTAACTAAATACCCATATTGTAATATTAGCAATGTATATGATGTCTAATATTTATTAATTATAATAAAATTTCAGGTCAGGCCACAGTCCAGTAACAGATGTCAGTTGGTCTCCAAATGGTGATCTTCTAATAAGCTGCAGTGGGGCAGACACATCCATGCTGGTGTGGGATGTAGCCATGGAGGTTGCTATACCACTCCGACGAGTTGCCGGTGGTGGTATAATATTCGCCCGGTGGTCTCTGGATGCCAGCAAAGTATTTGCTGCTACTTCTTCTTTAATATTTAGGTAATATTCCTTTTTTATTTGCCATAATTGGTAATGGAGACAATTTCTAATTTTGATTCAGTTTTAGTTAAACATATTCTGTTGTATGCAATATATAATATAAAAATAAAAGTGTGCTTTTATATGCAACAAGATCAATCAATGTACTTATTGCCTATTTACAGGCAAATACAAATTATCAACAAAACCATAGACTTGGTAACTTAGTTTAGTATGAGACAACATTTTTTCACTTTATTTAAACCTTATTAAGTTGTGAATCAGAAATATTTGGTGAAAAAATGAAGACAGCCAAAATGCAATCCTAAGTTAGAAATTCATATGACTTTGTAAGTTTTCCTTTTGTCTTTGGTCTGGATTTATGATTTCCATAACACAAGTGCTTTAGATGCAATAGAACCCCTTATTCATAGCTTCCTTATTTGCCCTTTCATTATTTGTGAGTGAAAAAATTGTAACCCAATTTCTATAAACGCAACTAAAATCTGATTGTTCACCACTGAATTCCTTCATTTTACCGAATAAAGGTATTCAGTGTTGTTTATTAATGCATCATCATCTTTTAAATGCTTCGAGCATGTGTGTGGCTTTAATAACACCTTATATTTTTGCTTCATTGCAGCAGCACTCATAAAATACTTAAACTATATTATGAATGCTACAGCTACAGCTACTTAGTTATGAATCTGTATTTAAAGATCTTTAAAAACTGCAAAAAAAAAATGGATAATGAATAAAATCTTTAAAAACCCTTAATTAAAGCTGACAATAAAGATTGATTTGGAATATATCCCTATAATTCTATACTAAATGCCATCCCATATTTGTGACATATTTAAGGAACATATCCTCTGCAAATAAGGAGCTTCTACTGTACTTAATTTGGGATCTGAGTAATATATCGCACACCTAGATCTAAACTGAGACAACTCAAAAACTTGAGTGAGTTTTGACTTAGTACAATATTCAAATACTCGGTGATCATATGCATCTATCGAACCTAACAGATTCAATAAAGGTTCAGGGATGAGCTGCTAGATAACTTTAGCCTTCTTTTGTTGAATCAACAGTGGTTGCGCTCCTGCCACATAAACAAATGTATTAGTTTTTTGAGTTGTCTTAATTTAGATCTAGGTGTGCGATATGTGACATGTAGTATTAATTTAATTTAATATCTTAGGGTATGGGACACAACGCGCTGGACCCCAGAAAGATGGTGCGCCCGTGGATGCCGCGTGGTAGCCGCGTGCTGGGGACCCGGCGACTTGTTACTGTTCACTGCTAAAGGAGAACCCATGGTGTATGCACTCACTAATACCGGACTTTTAAGTGGTAAGGGGTTAAATATTTGCCATAAATTAACCATTAAATATATTTCACCCACAACTGAATTACCAACATATATCGCGAACTTACTCAAATGCAGTTGGTTATTTCATATAGTTATATTATATATATAACAAAGGATTCATAGATATATTAATCATGACAAATAATTCAGATTTGAATTATTATAGTGTTACGGGTAGATGTGTAAACCTATTTTGTGTTTAGAGTTCAGGTTATAATATAGGTTTTAATATATATTACAGCCAACTGGTTAAGCGTAAACAAAGCAAAACTGAATAAACTTTACGGCGCCTTTTGCAACACCCATTTTATTGAATGTTTTAAATACCACAATGATTAATCTAGAAAACAGCTATATAATAGGCTAGTTTAATTAGTAATTTCACTTTATAATTAAATAGTCCATTGATACTTGACAAATAATGTAGAAGTAACAGCATTTCTGCGATTTATAGTTTCGGAGATACGGTAGTATGTCTGTGGAATTGCTGCTAGTCGGCCAAAAACACTCTCTTCAAATTCAAGCCTCTGAGTGACGTCACACTGAGATACGGTAGAGAAAAACGAATGGGTATCTGGGCAATCTTTGTAAATCTTTTTTATTTATGTGTTTATTTTTTTAGCTGTTATAATGAAAGTTATTACACTTTTATTTAATGTCGTATAGTATTTTAGCAAATTTTTATATGTTTTTCCTGCTTTTTTTAAAGTTTTCAGACGTAAATAAGTTTTATTCACTTTGTAACTCATTTTGTTCTTTTTGTATTAAGTAGTTGTGGGTACTCGCTGTCTACAATATATTGTAATATCTTTAACATTGTAATGTTGTTTAATGACTGTTTGTGCCAAAATAAAGAGAAAAAAAATTAATATTTTCCAAATAAGTGCTTTAAAAATTATTTTGTTAAATATTTTAATGTTAAAATGGTTCATATTTTCCGAACATACAACAGAAACCTCTATTTTCATTTGTAGGAGACAACCTTGTATAGCTCCATTCAACTAGCCGTCCGATTCTAAGGCTATTTTAACCAGTTGGCTGTGACACACATACTCTAATTTTGAGCACTGAATCAAAAAGATAATAAGTTAGTAGAGTAGCATCCTATATTCTATCATAGTTATTTTTTAACGCAAATTCCAGGTGCCAAAACGAGTAAAGCTGTACCGGTCTTAGACGTGACAAAAGTGGAGTTGCCTTCTGGTGACACAGTAGGAGGACCTATTCTCGATATGTGCTGGGACCCCACTGGAAGATACCTGGCAATTCTGTTCGAAGAGTCTCCACTTATCGCCATTTTTTGCACCACCCACCTGATGATGCAACTGAGAATCACACCATGGTATATGTTATTTTTTATTTGACTGAAAAGTCAATGCTACACCGCTATAGTTTTAGTCATCTAATTCGGGTTTACTAATATATGACTTAGTCACACTGGTCGAAGCGGTTCGTGGGCGACCTTTGCGAGTTCATTTCATTGGTCGATAAAACAATGACCGATTAATGAAAGCGCGTCACAAAAATCATCTGCAACCCGCACGTTGTCATCATCAACTAGACTGACTGAGTCATAAATATCTTTATAAAAGAAATTAAATTGATTTGAATAATGTAGTATTATTGTTATTTTAAGTTGTTTTTTTATATTTATGTAAACGAGATACAAAAATTAAGCATTTGGTCTGCAATATGTTGATAAACAACTTTCGCAATGCCCGGTCATAGGATGGGTGACCAAAATTTTGTTCTCGAGCTCCATCGTGCTTCGGAAGGCACATTTAGCCATTGCTCCCGCACCTGCGGTCGTTAATACACACCCATTCGCACTGAGTACCAGTTGTCATGGCCCCTTCTCCCTATTCGATCCCATCCGCAGGCCTAAGCCCGAGCAATGAGGATATTAATAGGCTTGAGATGATGAATTCAGTATTGAATTTTCGCAGTTGCTTTGTAAACGGCATCGGTAACGAGTTACCATCGACTATGGCGTTCCAGCAGAACTTCCCAGCGGGCGCCTGCCTCACCGTCGCTTGGTCCACGGGTAGAGTACAACACTTCCCCATCGTATACAACATGTAGCCAACAATATAGCCTTTATAACAATATTACCTATAGATAACTGCAGTATATTATATACAGGGTGTTAGGAGAAAGTATATTATTAATACTAGCTAGAATTTTAAAATTGTCATAATTCTGGAATGTTAAACTGCCAGTAGCCTAACATAACAACTTTTATTTTTTATTGAAAAAAAAAAACAGATTAAAAAGTCATAAACAATATTATTAACTATCATGGTCCATAAATATTCCACTTTCACCAAGATAATATTGTATACTAGAGAAGCGAGTACCTTATGAGAATACATTTTTATATTTATATTTACTTACCTTAACCATTTCGTACGTTGAAAACGATAGTGACACAATGCAAAAAATGCGATTTTGAATAATGAGCGTTTAAAGTTCAAGAAATTGTAATCAGCCCCTCTAAACAACGTATCGTCACTGCGCCACCTAGCAGTTTCTATGCAAGCTACGTGCACAGGGATCTTTGCATTTTAAAGTTTATACTTAACAAAGAAAAATGTTGCCAAAAGTAAAAAATAAGTTCTTTTTTGGTTAGTGACATTGTCATTCTCAACGTGGGATTTATCTTAACACCCTGTATAGACATACAACTTGTGGATTTTAGAACATTTCGAAACTTTTAAGTGATTAAAAGACATATAAACAGTTTAAATATGGACAGAAACATTATGTCTAATTACTTAAAATACTGGACATTGTCATCAGTTTGAAAAATAGCTACACTGATATTTGTTTATTTTGGTTGTACCCAATTATTTTATTGTCTTCATCGTGAACATATGACCTAAATCCAAAATGAAATAGCATATAAAATGTATTGTCTCTGTACCTGTAATGAAAATTTTATCTCGAAAGGCATGTGAGAACTTTAATAAAATATCAAAAATAAGTTTAAATAACATAATGCTTTTAGAGGTAGATGAAAATAACTTTTTTTCACTACCAAATTCTACATATTGAAATACGCCAGGACATGATTCTACTATTCAAATTTAAGTATCATTAAAGTAAAGCTAAAATTGATTTACAGACATTGATGTTGTTATTCTTAAGAGATATAAGTGAACAAGATGTAACAAGTTAGCAATTTACATCTCTACGACTAAAAAGTGACTTGACTCTTAAATCTTAATCATAAACTGAAAGTATCCTAAGCGTAATTATGTAAATTTCTCTGTAAATAAAAGTCGACGTTATATTTTTTAATTTAATTATATCTACTGTGTTTTATTCACAATATTCCCTCAATCACGATACATTTCTGTAGTATACTTAATAGATACAACCTTATCAGGTGTTGAAGGAGTACTTTTTATGTGGGTAATATTCACATATGATTTAGTGTTGCTAGTGGTAGATATCAGTGTTGTTCTAGTAATATTAACGTTTATATGTCTCCTTTCTATCTCTGGATCTATTAGTTTCATAGTAAACCTTGTTGAGTGAGTCTTCTTGTGTTTTTTGCCTTTATGATTCTTAGGTTTATTTTTATGTTTCTTTTTCTTAAGTTCAACTACGTTAATTTCAGTTGTCTGTCTTAATTTTTCTGAAAGCTTTTCCTTCGTCTCGTCGTCTAAATACATTTGTAGTTTAACATAGAGATTGTTTCTAAAATAGTCTGCCAGCATTACACCATTGTTTTGTCTTCTCTCAATAAACTTACCGTTACATGTAATAAATTTTTCACATAAGCCTCTTTCCATAGCATCTTTTAAATTATGTAAATCTAAATCCAAATTAACATTCAAATCTTGAAAAATGGAGTGTTGTAATTTAGGTTTCAGCGGTCGTAAGTTTTGTGGGAGATCTTTTTTAATATTATTATTAGTGTAATCTATCAAATTGTGAATGTAACGCCTTAAAGCTTTTATGTTATCATCCTTGTCTTTCTTTGTGTCCAAATGAAGTTTCCTTGTCTGCATTTTAAAAGCGTCTTCGACTTTTTGTTCTACTAAATCACCTATTTCGTTTACAGTCATCACGACAGCTTCTTTTTCATTACTAGGATCGGTATTCACATCTCTAACGTACATTGACGCGTAATTTCTAAAAGTGCTAACTGCCGTGTTGTTCAGTACATTATAAAGATTGACCAGGAAAGTCCTAATTTCTCCAGAGCATATTTTGAAGTTATCACAATTAAATTTCATTTTACTACCTTTTCTTAAAGCACTATCTCTATAATCACTATGCTCGACAAATTGACAAACAATTTTGTAACGGTCAGATATTTTATCCGTATCATCAACTATATGAGATAAAAAATCATGAAACTGTTCGAAAAAGCGATACAGTTTCACACCTGGAAACTGTGCGTTGCTTTGATTTGTTCCAACAGACCTTAAATATTGTTCCTTCAACTTTTTCCATTTTTGACTCCACCTTCGTGTTATAACCGCAGATTTCTCTATGCCATTCCTCTTTCTCTTCATTTCATTTGCAGTACTATTCCATGTGCATTGATTACTTATCAGCTCCGCTATTATTTTGTCAAATGTCTTTGTTACCATGCGTTGTGTTTTCTCGGAAACGGTTTCTTTTAGCAGTGCTTTTTTTATTTTCTCTCTCATCTTTTTATATTTCTTTATGTTAGTTTTCAGACTATCCTTATGAGATACCAGTTGATTTCTATGTAGTTTCGTTTTATTTGCAGGTGGGAGGAATTCTATAATAGTTGTCTCGTCGTCTCCTTCTAATGTTATATTACTGTTGTTCTCTGTTTCAAGTGGAACGTCTACATGATCGTCCAAAAGTGCTTTTAGCTCTTCAACTTTTTTATTTACAAACTTTTCTATATTGGAAACTTTGTAGCTCGTTCGGAAATTAGGTGATGCGTTTGGCGCGGAGTCGATGTAAGGTTTTAAAATTTTCTGTAGGAAATCCACGATTAAATTTATGTCCGGTAAATTACCCTTCACCTCATAGGGTTGAGAGTTTGTTACTGTAAATGCAATAACCACCAGAACTGTAAAACAAGTGTTTTATAGACATTTGATAAATAATTCAATTCTAATCTAAAATAAAAACTAATAATAATGATATGGTTTGTACATTATTATGTTTATTGCAATAATACATGGTTTCTAGTTCAAATAAACTGAACTTGCAAGAATAATTCAGTAACTTCTCACCTCCCGCTAGCGATGATTTAAAATATACCATTTTGAAACTGTTTTAGTTTCAATACAGTTAACGATCATATTTTATTGCATTTCGTGTTTGCATCTAAACTAACTGAAAATTACAAACGAACTTTTATTGCTTGTTGATATAACCAATGTTAAGGTTCTTTTTTCTATTGTATAAAATTATATATATGAATTTTCAACACATATGCATAGTGGTTTCAATGGATAAGCGCGATTACTATTAATTATACTCCATCAGCTATAGTTGTAACACAATCAAAATAACACAACTTTAAACATTTTTGATAATTATAAAATCCGTGTCTGTCGCGTTGTCAATAAGCGTGCAGTGAAGGCACAATTTTTGTAACCCTTTTTATTATTATAGAAATTTATTTTAATTAAATTTGCAGACTACCGGTATTACGGACACAAATCTAATTTCGTATACCTAATTACGTGTTAAAGGAAACCTATACCGTCATAAAGAAAAATAGGTCCAAAAATCACTAATTTTTATTCCTGACTTAAGTTAAAGTCATTGAGAAATTAAACTTAAATAAAGGATGACTATTTTAATTTTTAGGTGGATCGCATCTATGAAACTTGCATTGAAATTTTTCAGAACATATGAATTTTAAGTTCATCAACATTTTTCATCCCAATTTAATACTTGTTGGTTATTCAAAGTATGAATTTTATGCATTTTTCTCTGTTTGAATATTTAAAATAATATTTTTGTATGAGCGCAACACTTTAATTTTTATGTATATCTCGGATTTTTTCATAAATGTAGATGAGAAAGTGTTGCGCCCTTGCGCATATATAAAAATACACTTTGAATCTTCGAAAACGAATATTTAAGAAATATTAGGCGTTTTTGAATAACAAACTAGTATTTAAAATAATATGAATAATATTAATGAAAACTTAAACTAAACATATGTTCTGAAATATTTAAATATAAAATTTCCGTAGACGTGATCAACCTGAAATTTTGAATAAATTTTTTTTTTTAAGTGGTAAGGGGTTAAATATTTGCCATAAATTAACCATTAAATATATTTCACCCACAACTGAATTACCAACATATATCGCGAACTTACTCAAATGCAGTTGGTTATTTCATATAGTTATATTATATATATAACAAAGGATTCATAGATATATTAATCATGACAAATAATTCAGATTTGAATTATTATAGTGTTACGGGTAGATGTGTAAACCTATTTTGTGTTTAGAGTTCAGGTTATAATATAGGTTTTAATATATATTACAGCCAACTGGTTAAGCGTAAACAAAGCAAAACTGAATAAACTTTACGGCGCCTTTTGCAACACCCATTTTATTGAATGTTTTAAATACCACAATGATTAATCTAGAAAACAGCTATATAATAGGCTAGTTTAATTAGTAATTTCACTTTATAATTAAATAGTCCATTGATACTTGACAAATAATGTAGAAGTAACAGCATTTCTGCGATTTATAGTTTCGGAGATACGGTAGTATGTCTGTGGAATTGCTGCTAGTCGGCCAAAAACACTCTCTTCAAATTCAAGCCTCTGAGTGACGTCACACTGAGATACGGTAGAGAAAAACGAATGGGTATCTGGGCAATCTTTGTAAATCTTTTTTATTTATGTGTTTATTTTTTTAGCTGTTATAATGAAAGTTATTACACTTTTATTTAATGTCGTATAGTATTTTAGCAAATTTTTATATGTTTTTCCTGCTTTTTTTAAAGTTTTCAGACGTAAATAAGTTTTATTCACTTTGTAACTCATTTTGTTCTTTTTGTATTAAGTAGTTGTGGGTACTCGCTGTCTACAATATATTGTAATATCTTTAACATTGTAATGTTGTTTAATGACTGTTTGTGCCAAAATAAAGAGAAAAAAAATTAATATTTTCCAAATAAGTGCTTTAAAAATTATTTTGTTAAATATTTTAATGTTAAAATGGTTCATATTTTCCGAACATACAACAGAAACCTCTATTTTCATTTGTAGGAGACAACCTTGTATAGCTCCATTCAACTAGCCGTCCGATTCTAAGGCTATTTTAACCAGTTGGCTGTGACACACATACTCTAATTTTGAGCACTGAATCAAAAAGATAATAAGTTAGTAGAGTAGCATCCTATATTCTATCATAGTTATTTTTTAACGCAAATTCCAGGTGCCAAAACGAGTAAAGCTGTACCGGTCTTAGACGTGACAAAAGTGGAGTTGCCTTCTGGTGACACAGTAGGAGGACCTATTCTCGATATGTGCTGGGACCCCACTGGAAGATACCTGGCAATTCTGTTCGAAGAGTCTCCACTTATCGCCATTTTTTGCACCACCCACCTGATGATGCAACTGAGAATCACACCATGGTATATGTTATTTTTTATTTGACTGAAAAGTCAATGCTACACCGCTATAGTTTTAGTCATCTAATTCGGGTTTACTAATATATGACTTAGTCACACTGGTCGAAGCGGTTCGTGGGCGACCTTTGCGAGTTCATTTCATTGGTCGATAAAACAATGACCGATTAATGAAAGCGCGTCACAAAAATCATCTGCAACCCGCACGTTGTCATCATCAACTAGACTGACTGAGTCATAAATATCTTTATAAAAGAAATTAAATTGATTTGAATAATGTAGTATTATTGTTATTTTAAGTTGTTTTTTTATATTTATGTAAACGAGATACAAAAATTAAGCATTTGGTCTGCAATATGTTGATAAACAACTTTCGCAATGCCCGGTCATAGGATGGGTGACCAAAATTTTGTTCTCGAGCTCCATCGTGCTTCGGAAGGCACATTTAGCCATTGCTCCCGCACCTGCGGTCGTTAATACACACCCATTCGCACTGAGTACCAGTTGTCATGGCCCCTTCTCCCTATTCGATCCCATCCGCAGGCCTAAGCCCGAGCAATGAGGATATTAATAGGCTTGAGATGATGAATTCAGTATTGAATTTTCGCAGTTGCTTTGTAAACGGCATCGGTAACGAGTTACCATCGACTATGGCGTTCCAGCAGAACTTCCCAGCGGGCGCCTGCCTCACCGTCGCTTGGTCCACGGGTAGAGTACAACACTTCCCCATCGTATACAACATGTAGCCAACAATATAGCCTTTATAACAATATTACCTATAGATAACTGCAGTATATTATATACAGGGTGTTAGGAGAAAGTATATTATTAATACTAGCTAGAATTTTAAAATTGTCATAATTCTGGAATGTTAAACTGCCAGTAGCCTAACATAACAACTTTTATTTTTTATTGAAAAAAAAAAACAGATTAAAAAGTCATAAACAATATTATTAACTATCATGGTCCATAAATATTCCACTTTCACCAAGATAATATTGTATACTAGAGAAGCGAGTACCTTATGAGAATACATTTTTATATTTATATTTACTTACCTTAACCATTTCGTACGTTGAAAACGATAGTGACACAATGCAAAAAATGCGATTTTGAATAATGAGCGTTTAAAGTTCAAGAAATTGTAATCAGCCCCTCTAAACAACGTATCGTCACTGCGCCACCTAGCAGTTTCTATGCAAGCTACGTGCACAGGGATCTTTGCATTTTAAAGTTTATACTTAACAAAGAAAAATGTTGCCAAAAGTAAAAAATAAGTTCTTTTTTGGTTAGTGACATTGTCATTCTCAACGTGGGATTTATCTTAACACCCTGTATAGACATACAACTTGTGGATTTTAGAACATTTCGAAACTTTTAAGTGATTAAAAGACATATAAACAGTTTAAATATGGACAGAAACATTATGTCTAATTACTTAAAATACTGGACATTGTCATCAGTTTGAAAAATAGCTACACTGATATTTGTTTATTTTGGTTGTACCCAATTATTTTATTGTCTTCATCGTGAACATATGACCTAAATCCAAAATGAAATAGCATATAAAATGTATTGTCTCTGTACCTGTAATGAAAATTTTATCTCGAAAGGCATGTGAGAACTTTAATAAAATATCAAAAATAAGTTTAAATAACATAATGCTTTTAGAGGTAGATGAAAATAACTTTTTTTCACTACCAAATTCTACATATTGAAATACGCCAGGACATGATTCTACTATTCAAATTTAAGTATCATTAAAGTAAAGCTAAAATTGATTTACAGACATTGATGTTGTTATTCTTAAGAGATATAAGTGAACAAGATGTAACAAGTTAGCAATTTACATCTCTACGACTAAAAAGTGACTTGACTCTTAAATCTTAATCATAAACTGAAAGTATCCTAAGCGTAATTATGTAAATTTCTCTGTAAATAAAAGTCGACGTTATATTTTTTAATTTAATTATATCTACTGTGTTTTATTCACAATATTCCCTCAATCACGATACATTTCTGTAGTATACTTAATAGATACAACCTTATCAGGTGTTGAAGGAGTACTTTTTATGTGGGTAATATTCACATATGATTTAGTGTTGCTAGTGGTAGATATCAGTGTTGTTCTAGTAATATTAACGTTTATATGTCTCCTTTCTATCTCTGGATCTATTAGTTTCATAGTAAACCTTGTTGAGTGAGTCTTCTTGTGTTTTTTGCCTTTATGATTCTTAGGTTTATTTTTATGTTTCTTTTTCTTAAGTTCAACTACGTTAATTTCAGTTGTCTGTCTTAATTTTTCTGAAAGCTTTTCCTTCGTCTCGTCGTCTAAATACATTTGTAGTTTAACATAGAGATTGTTTCTAAAATAGTCTGCCAGCATTACACCATTGTTTTGTCTTCTCTCAATAAACTTACCGTTACATGTAATAAATTTTTCACATAAGCCTCTTTCCATAGCATCTTTTAAATTATGTAAATCTAAATCCAAATTAACATTCAAATCTTGAAAAATGGAGTGTTGTAATTTAGGTTTCAGCGGTCGTAAGTTTTGTGGGAGATCTTTTTTAATATTATTATTAGTGTAATCTATCAAATTGTGAATGTAACGCCTTAAAGCTTTTATGTTATCATCCTTGTCTTTCTTTGTGTCCAAATGAAGTTTCCTTGTCTGCATTTTAAAAGCGTCTTCGACTTTTTGTTCTACTAAATCACCTATTTCGTTTACAGTCATCACGACAGCTTCTTTTTCATTACTAGGATCGGTATTCACATCTCTAACGTACATTGACGCGTAATTTCTAAAAGTGCTAACTGCCGTGTTGTTCAGTACATTATAAAGATTGACCAGGAAAGTCCTAATTTCTCCAGAGCATATTTTGAAGTTATCACAATTAAATTTCATTTTACTACCTTTTCTTAAAGCACTATCTCTATAATCACTATGCTCGACAAATTGACAAACAATTTTGTAACGGTCAGATATTTTATCCGTATCATCAACTATATGAGATAAAAAATCATGAAACTGTTCGAAAAAGCGATACAGTTTCACACCTGGAAACTGTGCGTTGCTTTGATTTGTTCCAACAGACCTTAAATATTGTTCCTTCAACTTTTTCCATTTTTGACTCCACCTTCGTGTTATAACCGCAGATTTCTCTATGCCATTCCTCTTTCTCTTCATTTCATTTGCAGTACTATTCCATGTGCATTGATTACTTATCAGCTCCGCTATTATTTTGTCAAATGTCTTTGTTACCATGCGTTGTGTTTTCTCGGAAACGGTTTCTTTTAGCAGTGCTTTTTTTATTTTCTCTCTCATCTTTTTATATTTCTTTATGTTAGTTTTCAGACTATCCTTATGAGATACCAGTTGATTTCTATGTAGTTTCGTTTTATTTGCAGGTGGGAGGAATTCTATAATAGTTGTCTCGTCGTCTCCTTCTAATGTTATATTACTGTTGTTCTCTGTTTCAAGTGGAACGTCTACATGATCGTCCAAAAGTGCTTTTAGCTCTTCAACTTTTTTATTTACAAACTTTTCTATATTGGAAACTTTGTAGCTCGTTCGGAAATTAGGTGATGCGTTTGGCGCGGAGTCGATGTAAGGTTTTAAAATTTTCTGTAGGAAATCCACGATTAAATTTATGTCCGGTAAATTACCCTTCACCTCATAGGGTTGAGAGTTTGTTACTGTAAATGCAATAACCACCAGAACTGTAAAACAAGTGTTTTATAGACATTTGATAAATAATTCAATTCTAATCTAAAATAAAAACTAATAATAATGATATGGTTTGTACATTATTATGTTTATTGCAATAATACATGGTTTCTAGTTCAAATAAACTGAACTTGCAAGAATAATTCAGTAACTTCTCACCTCCCGCTAGCGATGATTTAAAATATACCATTTTGAAACTGTTTTAGTTTCAATACAGTTAACGATCATATTTTATTGCATTTCGTGTTTGCATCTAAACTAACTGAAAATTACAAACGAACTTTTATTGCTTGTTGATATAACCAATGTTAAGGTTCTTTTTTCTATTGTATAAAATTATATATATGAATTTTCAACACATATGCATAGTGGTTTCAATGGATAAGCGCGATTACTATTAATTATACTCCATCAGCTATAGTTGTAACACAATCAAAATAACACAACTTTAAACATTTTTGATAATTATAAAATCCGTGTCTGTCGCGTTGTCAATAAGCGTGCAGTGAAGGCACAATTTTTGTAACCCTTTTTATTATTATAGAAATTTATTTTAATTAAATTTGCAGACTACCGGTATTACGGACACAAATCTAATTTCGTATACCTAATTACGTGTTAAAGGAAACCTATACCGTCATAAAGAAAAATAGGTCCAAAAATCACTAATTTTTATTCCTGACTTAAGTTAAAGTCATTGAGAAATTAAACTTAAATAAAGGATGACTATTTTAATTTTTAGGTGGATCGCATCTATGAAACTTGCATTGAAATTTTTCAGAACATATGAATTTTAAGTTCATCAACATTTTTCATCCCAATTTAATACTTGTTGGTTATTCAAAGTATGAATTTTATGCATTTTTCTCTGTTTGAATATTTAAAATAATATTTTTGTATGAGCGCAACACTTTAATTTTTATGTATATCTCGGATTTTTTCATAAATGTAGATGAGAAAGTGTTGCGCCCTTGCGCATATATAAAAATACACTTTGAATCTTCGAAAACGAATATTTAAGAAATATTAGGCGTTTTTGAATAACAAACTAGTATTTAAAATAATATGAATAATATTAATGAAAACTTAAACTAAACATATGTTCTGAAATATTTAAATATAAAATTTCCGTAGACGTGATCAACCTGAAATTTTGAATAAATTTTTTTTTCGAAAGCAATTTTTGCTCCTTTTTTACTATCATCTTTTGGAAACCAGCATAGATTATTGTGATGACATTACGGTATATATTTTTAGAAACTAACTTAACAATTCAGATTGTGTCGAGGTAAGTTATGAAATTATGGTGAATTCATGTAGTTGAAATTAAATCACATAATGTTTTCAAACACAAATATTACGATCGACGATCAATAGGCTGAGACGTTAATTATTCTTATTAACTAAACTAAATTTAGAAATAAGCTTAGAAAACATATATGTGATGTACCAAATATATATTTTTTAATCCATCGGCGTACAACAATTACCGGAATTACGTCAGATAACCATCCTTACTCTCGAACGCAATCGCGACCGATCGACATTGCAAGTGTGCCACTTCGCACTCTTGATTGGATACACAATTCATACTCTGGCGCTGGTGTATCTTATCAAAAGCCCGAACGCCACAATTGCAATGTCGATCGATCGCAAACGCGTTCGAAAGTAGGCATTCTGGAGTCAAATCCTAGCACGAGATAAAGGACAAATTTGTGTGTGCTTTTCTGTATGTTTATGGTGCTATCGACAGTGGTGGACTAAGAGGGCGGCGGAAAGGGAAGTCCGCCCCGGGCCTCTTGTCCAGGGGGCCTCCAAATGGATACAAGTTCCCTGATCAAATCGTAAATTGGGGTTATACCGCCCTACCTTTTTATGTCTCGTAGTTTCAGCAAGCGTCTTAGCAAGGGAGGAGTGTAAACGCAATATCGAGTTACTGCCTCGGTTGGAAAAAGTCGTAGGTCCGGGCCTGATGCCGCCCCAGGTCCCCGATGGGATTAGTCCGCCAAATACGAGTAATACTAACTTAAGGAATAAATAAAACAATCTCTAAGCAAAACAGCATTTTATTAACAACATTACATAAAATTATCGTACTGTATAACTCACACATACAAATATCTATCTATACATAATATAAAATAATATATTTTTAAAGTACGACGTACAAAATTACAAAAACCCACTGTTTATGATGCTTACAACTAATATTGCAACATTGGTATCACCTGCATGGTCAAAACACTTACAATAATTTGATTTAAATATTATTTATCAGTAAAAAACTTAGCCTTTTAAAATGTTAAAGCCGAATATTTATTACAAAATTGTTATTTTAAAAAATGTTACGTTTCATAGAAAAACTTAAAAATAGAAGTTTAAAAATTTACTTAGACGTCGCTTAATGACTTTCGTTTCATTGTGATACGATTAAAAAAAGTACTAATTATAAAATTTTATAATGTTTGGCTCATTGTAAATATCTACAATATTCATAATTAGAATAGAATAAACATCATTAGGTATATTTTAATTGAATACATGTGGAAATGTATCAAAAAAATATTTAAATAGCCCATAAATTTTTTCAATATACCTAAAAGTTCAAAGTCGGTCATAATCAAATTATACGTTTTAAATATATTTATTTTTTAACTTAATTATGTCTTAAAAATCTATATCAGAACGTTTGCTGTTGTAGATTTTGTTCAATTAATCGATTTCATGTTTATAAACAAACGAAGCAACGGATACAATGCATTTAAATTTATGGCGTTGCTACAAAATCGTATGTCGAAACTACTAAAATAGTAGATTATTTTAAAAACTAGCAACATTGTTCGAGCTTACAAAAAAAAGTAACTAACTATTCAAGTAAGTTGAGCTTGCTGTTTGTCTTGCGAAGTTGCGCCCGCCATGGTATAATTTTGGCGCTTTCATCTTCACCATCGTCGTCATGTTTACCATTTGATGTCGCATGGCCTGTAATAGAACAATATTTATTAATTTCTTTGAAAAAATTACTTTTTCTCCAATCAGAGGTCTAAAAGCATATTAATGTGACTTAGTTTATTAGACCCATAGAACAAGGCACATCTACCACGTAACTTGTCTTGATTTATGTTGTCGACGCTAGACAGCAAACACGTAGTAACCTGCAAATCTAAAATTGTTCTTCAGTGAAAAAAATCTTCTTGATTCCACTTCCGTAGGAATCGACTACAGCCCAGTTGCAAAAATGTCCAGTAAGGTTTAATTTAATAACGACTTAAAGCTTATAACGACTTTTAATAGGTGCAGAGATTTATTTTTTCGAAAAATTTAAAGATTTTCTCCTCTGAAGAATAATTTTATTTTTACGGGTGTCTCCGTGTTTGCTTTGTAGAAGCCTGAATCTCAAAAGCCCTTTATACTATTTATTCATATTTCTATGATTTGCAAGGCCAAATACACTGGCTGGATCAAATTTTTCATTGGCCTTACATGGAAACACCGACCTTCATTAGAAAATTGACGATATTTTAACTGAAATCGAAACAAATAATTATTTCTTTTAGTAACATATGAAATCCTTTAATTATTTTTTACAAAACAAAAAACACTATTGTAATAGGATATTTACATTTAAAAAAAAAACTTTTTGTTATGTGCAAGAACTACAATTTTAACGTCAACGACCGAAGTCTAAGAACTATCAAACTAGCGTCACAAGAGACTTGCCGCTGTGTCTGTGTCCTTAGGTTTGCTAAGCGTGAATGGAAGGCATTTGTCATCATATGACAATAACTATGATTTTTAAAGTTGGCTTTGGAAGGAACATGGCGTTCCATGGTCCACCCATCTTATTCTCTTCTTTTTTTCGAAGAGGAATACGTTTTGCATTCTGACCTCGAAGATGCACTAAGCATTCATGTTAGTAAATTTATACCATTTGTCTTTAAAAAAAATGTGGCATTGTAATGCAAGTGGCAAACTTTGAATTTTTAAATTTTATATGCCAGCTTTCTTAACTGATTTTATTGTGTCTTTAAGATAATCTAAACCTTTAAATTTTACAAGTATTCCAGTAAAAGTGAATGGCATACATGAATTTTTTTATAGGCGCTTTATTTAACGTTTTACGATTGTTCTCTTCGATATTATATAACTTTAGTCAAAATAACGATGTCATGTCCTCTTACTTTCACCATAACATCAATTATAATATAAATTAAAGCAATATTAGCCTACAAAATTGTTTATCGAACAGTCCGAAATTGCATCCGATACGGATTTGAACGAATTTTAATAAGACGCACGGTATATATACGTCGCGTGCACAACCTCATACTTGAGCCGTTGGTCCAGGCTGTATCTGCAATCGTTAACACCCACCAATACGCACTGGCCTCAAATGGTGGGTCATGTTTAGCCCGTTCTCCCTTTTTAATTCCATTCCATTCCACAAGGCCTATGCTCTTACAGTGGGGATATAATAGCCTCATTTTTAAATTTCCTTAATTTTGAACCTTCGCATTGAGATTTCTATTACACTGCATTAAGGGTAGTTGTCATAGTCAACTAGATAAAGTATATGTGCACCTGACATGGTGCCGTATCTTAGTAATAAAGAAGTCTTATATAGGTATAGGTACGTCTAACGCTACAGTTGTTAACATTTGTTCGAAAACACAGCATACATTTTTAGAAAGACGATTCACTGTCTTGCACAGAGGACGTGACGTTATAGTGTCCTAAATAATTTGCCAATCCGAGTCACGTTTTTCTCATTTCTTATTTTCCAGAAAGTGAATCTACGGAAACTTGAACTTCCTGTACGACATATCCGTCGTTCTTCTTCTTCAAAAACAGTGAAATATGACTGGTATCTTATTTTTATTTATGTTATCAGATTCTAGATTTTATAATTAGATAAAAAATAATGAAACCTTTGCAGCAATATTCAAAAAACCGCGTTTGAATTCGTCTCTTCCAGATAAAGTCGACGTAGCAATGAGATGCGGAGCTTTACTAACCGTTACAGTGGTCTGACGTCAGTTTAGCCTCTGACGGCGCCCGCACGGGATGTGAGGGTGTGTCGTAGCACAGCGAGATGTTGTCTATGGACACAGCGCGCTGTGTGCCGCTCGGGTACGACCGCCATTCACCGGTGTTGATGCCGTTAGAGCCATTCGTCTCTTCCACTTTAGGAGTATACAGGGATTGTCTGTAATTATAAAACGAAATAATAAATATCGTTGTGCTGGTTGTAGCAGTTATTAAGGTTTTTTAATGAGTCATTTTGTTGTTAAAAATTCATAAATGTATGAGTATTTATCTGTCATATTATTCAAAGGCAGATATGATGATATAAGTATAATTCACTAAGATTTTGTGTAGATTTATTGAAAATATCATTAAAAATTATGCTGAAACGGTAGCCTGGCTAGGGGAGACCAAGGGGAATTTAAAAAATTTTGAGGTTTTACGAAACAATATGATGTTTACTATCTTAAGAGATGTGGTGTTGGAGAAAAATGCTCGGAATTCACTGGACAGAGCATAGGACCAACGCATCTGTTCTGGCTGATGTAAAGATAAAAATGAGATTATCCACCACTTGTCTACGGAGAAGTTTCGAATTGTTTGGACACATCGCCAGAAAAGGAGGCGATAATCTCGAAAAAACTTTAATGACGGGGAGAATAGATGACAAAGACCATGAGGAAGAAGTCCTCTACGTTGGTCAGATCAAATCCGCACTACACTCAACACCACAATCAGTGAAGCCATCCATATCGCCGAAGATAGAGCAAGACGGCGAGCAATAGTCCACGAGAGAATAATTCAACGAGGTCACGACCCTCAGCATTGAAGATGAACGACGCAAGGAGGAGGATCTTAAGAGATATTCTGATTTTATATACTTATATAGAAACAGAAAAAAAAATTCAACGGATCTGACAGCAAAAGCCTTTCACGTACCAACAGTACGTACAGTAGTTGCCACATGAAACCTTTGAGTCAACCAACATAAACAATAGAAACCATATTTTTACCTCAATCTGTTTTCAGCTTCCTCCCTTCTCTGCAGCAGCTGTCTCTTCCATGCAGGTACGGCGGCTGCCCTCCTCCTCTCAGCCTCGCCTGCTAGCTCCCTCTCCAGGTCCCTCCTGGCCTTCTCCGCTGCTCTCCTGGCCAACATCTGCCTCTTCCACGCCGGTATCACGTTCCCGGCGGCGTCCCTCTCCGGTATCTGCGGACATCCCTACCGTCGACCAGCCGCCCGTGTTCATGCTCAAGTCCCGTCTCCGTCGATACCCATCGACATGGTGTTCGACAGTTCATTATGCCGGCCATACACGTTACGACACACTTGCACAAAGTTAAGACTTTAAGGTCGTATAATTCTTAGTATGAACAAAATGACGTTTTTCAAATTCCAGCCTACATTTTGTTATGTTTACTTTTACTCTTATATAAACTTGCATATATATCGTAACATGTATAACTGGCAATATATTTTTTTACCTAATAATGTGTACACTATGCTCTTCTAAAGGAAGATTATGACTTTCATCTTTAGAACCACTTCAATTACCAATAATCAAAATTTATTTACTAAAGATAACAATGAATTATAAAAATGTGAATTTCTCAATCTAATAAATGAAAACCTACACGACGCGACGTATCCAAGTATCGCTATGAATATTAATGAAAACTCAAGTTTATCAACGATTGAGATTTTCCCCATAATAATAATGCCACGTAAACAGGTTACATAACTGCCTAATTATAATATCATGTATGTACCTAGTTAACGTTTATGTAATTAAATCCGGCTCGAAGGACCATAAAATAGAATAATAATAATTTTCCAACCTAATCACGTTCACCCGATTTTTATTTCGTATCTAAGTTTATGTTGGCATGATAAATAATAGATAGATTCATATGCTCAAGAAAAGTTATTAATCTATACTAATATTTAGAGATAGAAATATAATAGAGGATAGTGTTCCTAAATACTGATCCCATCATGAAAGTTCTTTCATCTACGGGAAGCTACATCACACGCGGATGACAGGCCCGGATATATAACATTTTCCAACCGGGTCAATCAAAAGTTTCTGCCCCGGTTTCTGTTTCTCCTCCTTTCTTATATAATTTTGCGAAATCTATGATTTTTTTTATCTGTATTATATTATAATGATTTTGACGCCCCCCTGACACTGGCACGTGCCCCCACTTTCCCCTCTAGATCCGGGCCTGGCGGATGACATACGCTATAATTTACGTGGACGAAGTTGCCAGAAAACATCTAATCATTTCATATACTATATTATATCGGTTCCAATTAGTGTTGTTCCTAACACATACCGTTATATAAACGAGATGTTATTTATGAGCGAGTTACATCACACGCGATCTTCAGTGACCGTATCTAGAGCGGCCAACGATTGGTTTTGTTATACTTTAATGGTGCATGTGGAACCTGATTAAGAGTCGAAATGGAGAATCTAAAATTATAAGTTACGTCTTGATTTTTTCAATTTCGTTTCAATTATTAATTAAAATATTCACAGATTTTACTGGCGGCAACTTTCGCAAGAGCTAGCCTTAAAATGGGTGACCAAAAATTTATTATCTTGAGCTCCTTCATGCTTCAGAAGACATGTTTAGTCGATGTTCACGGCTACATCTACAGTAATTAACACCTACCCATGAGCACTCGTCCCACGAGAGGGTCATCGCCCGTTCTCCATTATAGATTAAATCCAATTCCATCTATATAGAACGCCTGTGCCCCATCAGTGTGACATTAGTAAGCTTATCTTGATGGTAACGATATTATGTTGCAATTGTTTTATATTCTATTGCTGTGTCGATCTTAAGAAGAATCTTGTTATGATACGTACAAGATCGTGACTCATTTAATAGTTGTATAAATAAAATAACGATCAATTCTACTGGGGCTTAGAATAATCTGTGTCTTTTTACTATAAAAAAAATATGCCAATTGCATCTTAAATGTCTGTGCATTACACAATTGGTCACCTTGTAGTAGATTGCAAATCTTTAACTCTATAGTGCAATAAAAGAGCTTTGCTAATTGGTCAAAAATATACTAAATAATCCTATTTGACAGTTGGATGATTACTTAACAAACCGACACAGCTGAGTCAGCATATTAAAATACGTTAACAGCGTATTAAAGAATCGGTATTTGTGAAATTGTTTTCACCGGCGAGTGCGCAAGCGCATCGAGCACTAAATAAACGTGCATGCGCTCGGCATCTGAGCTATTAAGTGGTTTGCACATCGCACGGTGTACGGAACCACTGGATAATCGTACTTTAATTAATCGGCGAATTAAGTAGTTAAATAAAACTGACTAATCTTTTGCGCTTGTCGGAGTCTATGAATAGAAAATAATTGTAGATGCCCAAGCGCATCTTACCAGTACACTGATATTTTAAAAGGATCTGTTGAAAACTTCCGAAAAATCTACTTTAAAGATAAAAGTATTTTTAAACTATAAGTCTTAGACTTGGAGTCCAATACTTTACCACATCTTGGAATCTGAGCAAGGTGTATGACGTTGTTTAATATTTATAGTGTTAATATTAAACTTTATTGCTATGGTTATAATGAAAAAAAAATCACTGATAAATTTATAAAATGAGGATTAGACTAGACTAACTAGAAAAACAGAGAACACAACACAAAAAGAAATTTAAAGACAAATTCTACTATTGATTTAAAAAATTCCCAACGGCTGAAAGTTTCAGAATAAATAGAATGTATTCATAAAGCTCCGTTGTATACGTAACTTAGACGTCACGAAATGCAAAATCGATCACTTTTCCCACAGCCTTCGGCCATTGTTAGAAACAAATAAGAAACGTCGAGCGAAAGTGGCTTTATGTATGATATCAATTAAGTTAGTTTTGAATGAAAAAATATTTATTTTTGAGCGAGTGTGCCAGCGCAGTTTTCACGCTTTCACTGCGTTGTCTATGCAAGAGAGTCGAGATTTAAGTTTACTGCGTCCATTTTAATCTATGATTAATTAAAAATTTAACAACTGGTCTAGATTTTTAGAAAATGCATATTGTTGGGTATGTAAAAACTGAATTGAGTTAATATTTGAGCGCCACCTAATTGATTTGTAAGTAAGTTACACGAACATGAACATTGCACGTCTTAACTACCTATTGTTCAAGATTATTCTAACAAAGATATAATACTACACTAACACAGCTACCTTTTTTACTCGAGCAAGTAGTTGAGCTAATTTTCGTACCGTCCTTGTTTCTGCAATAGATAGTTATTTAAGATAATGGGTTGCCTAGATCTATCTGGTGCCTACCATACTGACTGCTAGTGGCACCCAGCACAATAGTGGCAGCTAGCACAAATAATTAATTTTGTGGTATATTAATGTCAAGATATAGATCAGAAGTGTAATTATTTATTTAACATAGAGCCAAAGTGAAAATATTCTTTATTCAAATAAATTTATTGAATGCACTTTTGAATTATCCACCATTTAATTACCTTTTTTAATTTAGCTAATAAGAAGAACGGGTGGGAGAATCTAATTGGCTCCCATTAACAGAAGTGCCGACATTTACAAAAACTACTGACTACTGATAGATATAAACTACTGACTAATGAGACATAGATACAGTGACTTTTGTGACGATAAACATACTGCGAAATTGATAGGACTTATAAACCTATAGACTGTCTAGAGTTATGTATGCTTTGACAATAATGTTTAAAAAATTCGAAAACACGGGTGCACTCGCTAGCCCTTCGAACCATAGAGCGTGACACCTGGGTATCCTAAATAATTTATTGATATGACTCATATTTATTTGATTTATTTTGTCACATTCTATTTTTCCAGAGATTTAAACATTTCCTAACGTAAACCTCTAACCTTGTTGACCACATGGCTACATAATATGTCACGACTTCTGCCTGTCACGACTTCAATCATTATTGTTTCACTTATATTTATGTTATCCTAAAAATTACAAAGTTTCTCAAAAACAGATAAAATTCTAGCCGTATGTAATACAATGACGACATCGTGAAGCGTTATGGTGTAATTATGGACAATCACTCATTCCATTTATATAAAACTCTTGCCTCTTCCAAAAGAACTTTAGAATTGAGAATTTAAAGTTAAAAACATCTCAAACAGTTCTGATTTAATTTTTAATTATCAATTGAGAATTTGTACTTTTCTCAATACATAACCGACTGTTATTTAAAAAAAAAATAAGTTTAATAGTAATGATCATATTAATAATGTAACTCAAGCAATTGCATGAAGATTACTGTAACTTATGACATAGAATGCGCATTTGAAGAGTTATATGCATTAGTCAATAGAATCCGCAAGCAGCATGCGGGTGATATCTGTAATAATATACCTAATAAGACCATGCGGAGAACACCCGCATACTGAACATCTAACAATGCCAATAGACCTTGCGGCTAATGATATACCCACCGCCGCGCCGTATGACACAAACCCTCCTATGGATAGAAACGGGCCTCCCCTCCATATGAGAGTCAAGTATTATATAGAGGTATTGTTGGATGCTAAAGTTTGCAGATGCCATCACTATTAAAACAGTTTAACGTACCTACCCAAAACACGTTGTATGGTCACCCATTCGAAAAAAGGTTTGCGAACCGTACTTAATTCTGCAATTATAGACCGAAATTACTATCCAATGCTTGATCGTGTTTCTCAAGAATTTGTGGACACAAAAATTATTCCTATATTTAATTTCTTTAAGATAGCAATTTATGCTTTGGTTTCGTTTTACATTAGCGATTTAAATTGTATTTTTTTAATGATAAAAATATAATTGCCGCAATTATTATTTATTATACATTTCCTTTGTTAATTTATTACAAACTGAAGCATTTTTGAGGACATTGAAAAGTTTTAATAATAATACTTTATTATCTCTTCACAATTTTACATTGAAGAACATTATGGTGTGCCTCCTTTAAGTACATATAATACCTTTATCGGGAGGCTACCGCTCTTCCAGTCATTATATAGAAATATACTTATAAATGTTATGACAAAACATAGAAAGAAAGAGACAGTAGCATTACTGATTCAATAAGGAAAACAATATTATGCTTACTGTTTAATGCCCATCCTACTAAGTTTTAACATTTCTAACAGAGGCTAAATCGCAGACCCCGTCTAAAATGCGCATGTCGGACGCATTTCACGGTGGAAGCGGGGGTGGAAGTAGATCAGTAGGCTACCGCGCGGATGCAATCTTAGTAAAGTTGCTACCTTAGATGCTACATGCATCACTTTTGCATGGTATAGTCAATGACTCTGCTTAATTTTGCACAACTTTTGTTTTGTTTGTGAATTTTTAGCTTAAAGTAGAGCATTGATCAAAAAACGAATACAGTTATTAGATATGCAATTGCAGCGGATGTCTACAGAACTAGTTATTTCTTTAATCGAAAAAAATACTGCAATACCAACCCTTTTCCTTCAGACAACACTTACGTACGTAACTCTTTTTATTGTTTTTATTTTCCGGAGACTTAAATATAAATTGAGTTTGTACTCTTGCCTTACATGACTCGACTAGAGGGCCTACTATCTAATTTTTACCTTATTATTTGCCACGGAGTGAAACATAAATACTCCGCTTATTTTGCTTTTTCCGTAGTTGACAAATTGAAAGGTTTTAAAGCTTCCCATGAAGCTAGGAGGGGGGGTATCACACGAAATGGCGTATAGCCAACATAATGTTAAAAATATATGAATTTTAGGGGGTAACTTTGTCATATTTTTTCCATCGAGTAATTTTGTTTCACGTAACCCTTAATTAGAATTTAATTAGAATCATGATGTTGTTTACTTATTTTAAATAACCACTTATTTGGACGTTATTATCCTTTGAACAAATACAGTTGAAATTTTGTAATTTTCGGCGTAGGCGCTCTTCTTAACATGATGCTACTATTTTCCTAAAATATGCAAACTACGTATAAGGCTACGGTCAATTAACCTAGAGTTCTGTAATTATCTATCACAATATGCAAATGGAGATATCTTCAGATACAATCGTCGTATTTTGTAATTGTTGTGTAGTCGCTTCATTGCCTTCTATGTATTTCAATACTTAACGGAATGTGTACGAAATTTTCTGTTTAATTCTCTAAGTAGATTTATTTAAATAACTTAGTAGACAATGAGTTTTTAAAGTGTAAAATATGTAGTCTGATAGTTTTTCTCTTAATTCAATCAAACAACAATTATCATATTAATGTTTCAGATTTTGCAAACAAATACCTACACTCGAAATTGATTAGACATATTATATCATATTATCGATCACAACTTTCTAGACCCAGTTGCACAAACGTTCATAAAAAATATATTTATACAAATTTTAAATTTAGAATATTCATTAGAGCTTAGTCCTCACTAAACTTTAAAGATTGTCATAGAGTATTTTTTTTATGTTTATGCTATTGTAGGGGTCTATAAACCTACGAAAACCACGGTAAACAGATGGACACGACAAAACGTGGTCGATTTTAGAATACCAGACAATATACTGGCCAGTATCTAAACATTTTTATGAGTCATTAATATTAGTAACATTGGTATTGAATTTATTTATTTTTATATTGCTGGCAGTTACACAATGAAACCCTATTTAACTATCATTTTAACTGAAATTATTTATTATTATGTTATAGATTATTTTTTTATTCTAAAATTCGATTCAATTCCAGTGACTGTTCTGAAATATTCAAACAACTAAGTCTCGAAAATTCCAAATGTCCAATACCGTGCTATATAACAATCTCCCATCACAACAATCCCTTGAAAAGTTTTACTACTCTATGTACCAATTTAATACTAGACTATCATAGCGTATTTTGTAATTGTAACTTATTACAGATATTCAAATAATTTCAACATATCTCACGCTCGAATGCACTTATGCGATTACTAAGAACGAGATCTCAACATGATACGTGCGTGATGCTTACTACCCGGATAGGGTTGTCAACAAAACATAGACCTAGGGACCATACTATAAAGAGTAGTGGTCACACTGTAACCAGTCCATTGGGAAATCAGTGGTAAAAAATCTAGTAGTCACTATTATGCAATATAACTCCTATGTAAACAAGTGAAAAGCTCGATGGTGTAGTGTTTAACGCGTTAGATCTACTTTTTACAGCGACGTTTGCAAAGGGAGGTAATCAGATGATTCGCGCGATGCAATTCGTCCAATTAATTGGAGATCGGATTGGGATCTCCAATAAATCGGTCAATCAGTCGATCGACGATCGATTCGATATCGGTCGAATTGCATCGAGCCATGAGTAAATAGCCTCAGATCGTATGAATCATCGATTGGTCGACAATCATTTCACTAAATCAGAAGATTGCCAAATTCGCTATCCATTTTGTCCTAGCTCTAATATGGTTTATCTCTAATTTGGTCTTATAAATAAATAGGGTATTTGACAACATTAAAAATTGTGCTCATCCTTTAAAATAATAGTGTAATAACACATATTTAATTTATTTTAAACGAAATAATGTATATTTTTTGCAGATTACACAAAATAAAATAAAATATTTTTTGACATTTAATTTGGGACGAAAACGCATTGTAATTGGTTGCAACTCAAATAATGTCACTCGCTAGTAAATATGGCTTCATGTTGACGATTTTAGTATGATCAGGTTTGTTTATTTATTAACATGTGACGTCATACGCAACGTAATGGCGGCGTTTGACAGACCGCGTTTTTCACGCGGTTCCAGAAATTTAAACTTTAACTTTGATTTTTAATGATAAATAAATTCAATTTCTCTGAAATATTAATAAAATGTGCTTATTATGTAATAAAAAATAATTAAAAACTATTTTCATAATTAGTCAAATATCGTATTTAACGTATATATAATGTAAAGACAAATGACAGACTACGAGTGCTGGAAGTATCTTGTTATTACATTGTTTACAATTTATAAAATTTTGGAAATTAAAATTAAATCTATTGGTTATTAGTTATGTTTTAATAAATGAATAATGGTTACGTTACCAGTGACACATTTCAGTGGTCCGGTCATTCGCTTACAGTAATGTGCGAACAAGTGTGAAGTAATCATTATATCAATAAGCCATTGTTTGATACTCGTAAGATAATAAACGAGCCATGTCTGCATTCTTGGTTTTTAATTAACAATCGAAAATTCTAGGTCATGGAAAGAACGTTGCACTTATAAAATTTTGATTGTGTGTCAACAAAAAAAATGTATATAAAAGGGATTTAGACTAATTTTGTTTGTTTCTGCGTCAGGTAGTTATTGAAGAATATTAAATACGTATTTATTTTTACTTTTTGCATAATCAATTTTACGTCGATACGTTGAGTTGAAATGTCGCATGACGTCACGCCTTTGTACATTTCTATAAAACTGTGACGGAGCGAACCCCCACTCCTTAATGTTTATGTATATTATCCTTTCAATTTAACAATTGAAGCAAAAAAAATTATATTTTTATAATATCTGACTGATGGACGATATTTTTTCCTTTTTCATCCCAGTCTTCATCCCTAATATATACCAAGACGTTAACCGTTAAAATTACGACATACGGGAGAGCTTAATCGATAAATATTTATCAGATAACATATGCTGAGCTTCCATATTTGGAAACTATGCACTTGTGTAAGACAGAGAAAATATCATTCTCAATATTGTCCTGTCCTGGAATGGAACCGAAGACCTCAAAGATGGTTAAATAGATAGACAATTCGTTTATTCAATAGCAAAATACAACTACATTATGCAGAAAAAATATATTCAGATAGGAAATAAAGGATAATGGACAGAACATGTGACTATGTGATGATGGAAAAGGTCTAGGCTCCTCATCAGTTCTGATTATAGCAAACTAACCTTGAAACCGATGTGTGGATCACTTGGCCAGGGATATCGCCCAAGATATTAAACATAAGTTGGCATTGATCTATAATGTCAATGGTTAGAATAGTAATTTCGGAAAAGCGAAATTGTTCAATAACTTTTTGTATGTGCTTTGTAACAACACTGAATGAAATATAATGTATTGCGAAACTTCAAAACGAAATTATCATTAAATAAGTTGACAATAACCGAGAACAAGTATCAGTAAGAACGGTCACAAGGGAATACCAACAATTTTGATAACGCTGTACTCCACTGACTAGCTACCTAGCTGACTATAAATATCAGACAAATAAAAAAATTATATGTTAAGTGTCAATCAAACTTTATTAAACTTCTGTCTGTGGTATAATTGGCCAAACACAACCTAGCCTAATATTGTCCCAAGACTACCCCTCTACTATATCTCGGTACCCCGGGAATCTAGTGATGATATCTAGAACAAACTAATTTTATTTCCGTTTTTGGCAAATCCAATCACTATGCTTTGCATTATGCACAGATAAATTAATATTTATGATACGAAACTCCTTTACACTTATTACAAAATTATCGTCGCGAATTGATATTTTGTTAAATATACAAGGTAATATCAGTTTCTAATACGGTCTAGTTTTACGGGTGCTTATTAAAATTCAAATGCATAATTCATGAATCATCTGCAGTGCCTAAGATAATTGAATCTAGACGATTTCTTTTATATATGCTTTGTCTGGTTAATCATATGAAATCTATAATGAACGTAACTTAATAAGACATTATCTTAAACCGTGAGAAATATTTCAAAACCGATCCATTCATTCATTTTTTAAAGCGCTTTGACATTTTAAATAATATAAAAAACAGACACTGACCTGATCAACGAAATTCTCAGCTGTGAACCTCTTTGTGAATTCTGTAAACGTCTCCTTATCCTGCAGACTCTCCCGTCTCGCTCTCTCCACCTTCATCTTCTTGATGCCAGTTATGTCCTTCGACATCTTTAGTTCTTCTATCAAATCTGTTTTCGCGCTTCGATAGTTCTCCGCGGCGCTCGGTAGACATTGTAAACTGACAGATCTCGTCGGTGGAGGTGCTGAGAGTGTTTTGGTGGCTGGCGTGCGGAGTCTGACAGCGGATAGCTCCGCACTGCTGATGGCAGCTAAGGGTTGTGTGGCCGTCATCGCCGGGGGCTGGGGTGGCGGCGGCGGAACGTTGTCGCTCGGGATCGGCGGCGGCGGCGGAGGTCGGGCCTCCGCCCCGCTGTCGTCCCGCTTGCAAGGCGCCGTGATTGTTTTCAAATATTCCGAGGGTTTTATCAATCGATCGGGCGCGTTGTGAGGGAACGCGGGAGGCACGAACGGCAAAACCGGCTGCTTGTTCACGAGGTTTGGCCCGCGAGGTCTTTCGTCTTCTGACGCCGCCGAGCCGCGCCGCCCCGCTGCAAAATGGCCGCCGTTAGTGGGGAGAGAAAGTCCGCGCATCGGCGCGCACGCAGCTTGCACCGTGTACACTCGATGCTTGAAAATGATTTGACATTCCTTTTACTTATTCGTGATTCTTTTATTCATAAATATCATAATTGTCGAAGCATCGAGTGTACACAAAACAATTTTTATAGTTTCATCTCATTAATCAATCAAATTAATTTCATCAAGGCAAATTATTAAACTATAATTTTAGCTATTAAATAACTAATTTAAATAACAATCGTTATGAGCTATTATACATAAACGTATACAGTCTCAAATTGAAAATGACAATGTAGAGAAACATTTCAGTTAGTTTCAAATTACAACAATATCTTCAGCATCTCGTACAAGCAACGTCACGTACTGAAACTAGATTGTGTTCAATAAATCTGTGTCAATAATGCGCTGTCATTGACTCTCAGCTATGTCACTGCTACAAAAAAGAAATTCTACTGCAATTGGTTGTTATTTGTAGAGTTACACAACTAGAAGAATGTATAACTAGTTGCAATAGATCCAGCGACATAATAATATCTTAATTTTAGTAATATTTACCGACACTCACGTAATGTTGTGATGATATTCAGAGTGTAAAGTGCGTGATGCTATAATATGCTGGGGAACTTTCCAATGATCCAGCTAAATTGTACACCTACTTGGTTTAAGTTGTAAAAAAATTAAAAGTTCCACGCGATATTATGATTAACTTAAACGTATAGTGGTTCAACTCTCTTTACTGTTCCTCTTATCTAATATATCGAGAGATTGTTTATTTTTTTTTCTTCTAGTATATTTTTGACTTAATTGCTTTTATTAGCCGAGTAGTTCATTAATTGAAAAAGGCTATAACAAAACGCTACAACAAATAGCTGGAATTAAGTAAATATGTTGCAAAAACAGGAAAGCCACGTGACGGTGAAGTCGCTGGTGTTCAATATTTAAGTTAAAAGGTAAAGGCATCAATAAATTCTGTAAAAAAACATGTCAAAGCCTATATTTGGCAAATCATTACCATTAAAAACCATTTAATCCGGTGAGCAATATGGAATTTGAAAGTTACAAAAACATATAAAACCTCTTGTCGATGCTGGGAGGCAGTTATATATATGTTGGTTGTTAATATTGATTGTTCAGGCAGTTACGCACAACTTTTGCCGGCCAATTACGAATAAATAAATAGAAATGGGTCTACATTCACGCAGAAATCAAACATATAAAAAATATACTCGTCAAACATAGAACCTCCTTCTTTTCGAACGAAATCATTTAAAAAATTATGTATATCAAAGCACGAAATAAATAGTATGTACAGGTTTTGCTTTGGTTCGCTCAATTCTCCCTGCATTCCCCGCAAGCCCGCAAGCGATCTTATATGAAGATACAGATAGATTTATCTAATTTTTATCATTCCGGAAATTGTCTACTTCAATTTCAGAAAAGGCATAATCTTCGTACTACAGTTGTCGTTAGAAATAATACGTCTCTGACATTTTAATGTTAATTTCACGCATGTCGTGCAAATAATATGCGTTTGATTGGTATAATTTTCATCGTGCTCTTGTGTCATATTACTACGACAATTTATTAGTCATAAATATTACTTATACAATAGTTTTCTATTGAAAATGCTGACTAATATATATTTAGAAACTAAGAAAATTTGAATGAATCCTATTAATATTATAAATGTGAAAGTTTCTTTGTTTGGATATTTGTCCATCAATCACGCCGAAACTATTGAACGGATTTTGACGAAATTTGGTAAACAGTTAGGGTATTAACTGACATAGATAATAGGATACTTTTTATCCCACAAAAAATTTCCCTATTGACCACGCGGACGAAGTCGCTGGTGAAAGTTAGTAAAAACATATAACAACCGAGATTAAATAATATTCTATGTAGGATTGTAACTTAAACGTATTTTAGTTGTTTGTTTTTTTGTGATTTAAGCTTTTGTTGAAACTGTTTTCACTAAACAAGGTTCAGGTTATTTTCAATTGCCACCTTTATATCATTACACCCTGTAATTAGGTTTCGTTTCCCCTCTACTCCGAAGTTCACCAGATGCTGGAGCTTGTATGCAAAATGTTAATAAAAACTGTTATGCATAATTATGCATGTAATTGGTGAACATTTATCGTTACAGTATTATGTATTTGATTTAATATCACCGTTTGTTTTCCTAATAAAATAAAAAAATGACCAATTGTTTCTCTTTATTCTATATAGTTATTTGTGAAAGCCAGTGTGTTGCTCTGTGGTTCTATTAGCGAGTGAAAATATCATATCTAAACTCCCGTTGCACATGGTTTTCGCGTATAACGTTAGAAACTTCTGTGGGATCCATAAACTATCTAATGAGAAAAAAAATCGAAAATCGATCAACAATTTGCGGAAAAAGCGGTGAACATATATAAAAATATATACATCTTCATCGAACATAGAACCTTTCGATTTTGAAGTCAGTTTAAAAGAAGGCGGTTCTATGTTCGACTGGTATTTACTTTTTATATCCACCGGAAGGAAAGATCCGGGATCCAGCAAGAAGCCCGCCGAATCCAGCCCCACAACAGGCTATATACTTCGGAGAGTACACTCAAAGGCTACATAAGTCCAACCCGTTTTCACCTTTTTACAATCTTTAATACAGACACACTTTGGGACACCATCTTCAGTTGGTAAATATCCCATATTTCTGCTACAATCATAATTTATTCTTCACACTTCACACAGAAGGAGTTCGAATCCTATTTCTGGCGTCTATACGAGTTAATAGGCTTCTATGCAATGTAGATCTCATCCATGTCCCCAAGCTGGATGGAAATCGTTAGTGTAAACCCATTAGTAATGAAAAAAACCTTTGCCTGTCTTCAATATAAGTCAAACAACATATAAACCGACTTTAAAATAAATAACATTTATCATGTTTTTGCGTAAAAGATATACATCTACATAGAAATAATTTTCAACAAATTTCGTACCAAACTTTCCTTTTTACTCCTCGAAGAATAAGTAAGTACATTTTATAAATTGGTCGACTCCTACTCGTCCGTTTGTAAAGACTGCGTACACAATTTCCTTTTATAAAGACTTTAATATACTAATTTCTTTTCGTGTGAAGAAAGGAATTATAGGTTGAGATAATGCCAAAAGTGAAAACCTTTTTTTGTTATTTTTTTTCATTTACTGGTTATTTGAAGAATGCGATTATTGTATTATAATTCAATTCATGACCCCTACCAATCACTAACTTCTAGTTCTAATTTACGACACGTCACGGTTTGTCGAACAAAAAATACGCTAATCATAGTTATGCAAAATGTATAGTGTACGAAATTGATTTACGCAAAATCAATATTGTTGTACAGTTTACGAAAGCATCAAGGGCTATAATTGGGTTACTTAGTGATATTAGTTAAGCCTTGTCGACACTTCCGACGCGGATCTGTTGTCGCACGTGTTTCTTAATTATTGCCTTATCTGTTACTACAATTTACAAAATTTAATTTTCTGGTCGAGGCGTCAGTTTGCAGTTTATTGTGTGATGTTACGGCACATGATCGGGTACCATCAGTTTTGCTATTGAGTAATAAAACAAAGTAAAACTTTCATTACCTTTTGAAGTAAAATATTTATAAAAACTTCCATGCTATGATAACACTGTGCCTGACATTTCGTTCGACGCTGATTTTGTTTATATGAAATGAGTTAGAAGTTTTTATTAAATATTGACTTATTAATTTAATTACAACTGAGTCTATATATTTAAAAAAAAGTATTAAAATAAATAGACAAGTAAAAACTAAAAACAGGATAGGCGAAGATGACCGAAGGTAATGATTATGGCAAATCATGCTTTTATTTTTATAGTATTAAATGTTATCAAAAGACACTTCGATCCGTCGATCTCCTTTTTATTTGTAGTATTAACAAATATATTGCATTTAATGTTTATTAAGTGTTTAATGAGAATGTGAACTATTATATTAATAAATTTTAATTTTGCAGCTAAAAAAAATAATTCAGACCTTATTTTTATTGCATTAAATCCGGGCCATAAGATTCGCAGAACAAAGAAAAACTATATAATTGTTAACTCTATCTTTATTGAAGTCAGGGAAAATACAAATAAAGCTAAAATATGCATACCAATATGAACCTTCAGCAATGTTAATTAAGCGTTGTCTCCAACGACTAAGCGTACGCGACCCCGATACGAACAAGTTTTAATTAGCAAACTTCAGCAAACAGACTGAAACACTTTCATATATTTTTTCAGTGTGTATAAAACAATATCTAGTGCGTTAATTCATTATTTACTTTACAATAGCATGTATACATTTAGCTTTATAGTATTCTCATGAATTATATATATTCACTAAAAGACTAATAATAGACTTAATGTTATTATTTACTGTGTTAATATTTTTTACGGCACGAGTAATTTTTCCTGAGTCCAGTCTAAGACTGATTCTAGATCTGTGATGATAAATAATTTGATTCGTCAAATTTACTTAATTTCTGACTTTATTCCTGATCAAGTGTAACAATTATTGTTGTTTTTGGAGTATACGCTATGTATATTATTAATCAAATTTATGTAATTATTAATATAAGTCACTCGGTTAAGGTGAATCGAATCAATAACACAACATTTTTAGAATTTCACTGGAGTAGTAAATATTTTTAGTACACACCATATAATTATACAGTTTCCATGACACAAGTACTTTAGTAACGTGATTTACGAAGAAATCCAGCTCTAACGGTCATTAAAACAGTCCTGTGATTTTTGTTATAACCAAAAGTTGGAGATGTAGTCCTACATCTTTGTTTCTCCCATGATATTAAAGTTCGCGATGATAGTAAGATTCTGATTACCAATTCAGTTCTCATAGTAAGGAAGGTTGATATGATGATAAATAAATATAGTTCTTATTTAGAGATATCAATAGCGTATTGTCGG